CAATGGAATCCCCCAACTGACTCAGTCCTTCAGAGCATCTAGTTCCGCAAAAGAGGCGAAATTCCTCTTGAATTTAAAGTATAAACAAGATTTGTTATAAGCTCGTCTTATCATATCTGCATGGCACAAGATGGTTGAAAAACTACACCAATCCTTAATTGGGTCTTACTGTGACTTATGTCTGTACAATCCTTCATTACTATCTAAAGTCAAGTCGACCGATTTCCTAAGAGCTCTACACACATATTATGTACTTTACTTAACTCAACTCGACCAGATGCGGCGGCATTATCACACAATTCTTGTTTTTCGCTTAGAACTCTTGTCAAATGCCAAATTTAACGAGTTGAACGGTCAGTTTAGGACCAAAATACGTCCCACTATTTCAGTAATACTTAAAATACATTTGAATCCCAGCCAAGATTGATTTATTTCTTATAGAAATTAGTCTTTAGGGGCCTCTTTTAAGTTAAACCCAAACGAGGCTTGATTCTCTTTAGTATAATGTGGCATAGTATTGTAAGATATAGAACTTATGGTATGATATTACATTGTGTGGTAGTGTACAGTAAAATAAAGTATATTATAGAATATTATAGGTAGGTAGGATATATCATAGTGTAGTATTATATCGTTTAGTATACTATATTGTAGTATAGCATAATATATGTATTATAGTATAGTGAGGTATAGCATAGTTTATTTTAGTATTATATAGTATAGTATAATATATAATATTATAGTTTATTTTAGTATATAATATTATAATATAGCATAGTAACTGCGAAGGCTCCGATAATTATCATGCTCTGGAACGTTTAAATTCTTATCCGTTTATTACCTTATATGATTAAGCTAAGTTTGCTTTACATTTCCTCCTTATTATTGTTGAGGATTCTTTTTGCTGACATATCTCTTTTTATTTTATTAACGGCCAGCTCTATAGCGGAATTTCTCAAATACTCGTAAACTTTTGGCAAGCTTTCTTTATAAAGGTTTTTCTGCAAATTCTCTATGATCAAGATACTTGTTTGTACATGGACTTTTTAAAATTCTTCTCGCATAATATGATTAATATTTTTTTCAAGAAACAAATTATGTCTTAATATTTACGCTCTCTGTGCAATTAATCTTGTAATTAACAGGGGATAGGAATTGAATTGGAGAAAAGATTTAAAGAAATCGACAACCAGTTCCAGCGGTTTAACGACGTCGACTCTCGCCTCAATGAGGTCGCCCTACTGCTCTCAAATCTCGGGGATGTCGTGAAAAATGTCACTGACACTCAAGAAAAGGTAAACCAAATATATAACTACTTCATATATTTTTAACTCATATTTTTCTCTCTTATTTAGAAAAATATGAATACAAATTCTATAGAATAAGACTCTTAAACAAAATTTATAGTTTGAACGCACAATTTTTCATGGGATTATTTTTTACTTTCATGAGTATGTATGTT